CCATTTGACAGTGCTTCTGAATGGATTGGCTGGCACGCAGACTTACAAATACGGTGCAGCTGATGCCCAGGGGAACTGAATCCTGGCAGTCTAGAGGGCAAATAAAGCATCCCTCCACCCAGAGGCTTATTGCAGCTTCAAAGAAATACTAGGTTTATTTCATAAGAACACTTTAGGGTAGCATTAGGGCAGCTTGTTTAAATACCTCTGTAATGATTCTGTTTTCTTTGCAAGGAGAGAAGGGCAGCAAAATGTTTTTAATACTGGATACCAAAAGTAAAATGAGAACCCCCCCATGCCAGTTGGAAAGCACAGCATCCGCCTGGATTGGCCCAGAGGGGTGATGCAGCTGTCTGACCTCGTTCTCCATCACTGGCAAAGACTCACTAAACCTAAAGGTTCCCAAACCTGAACACAAATCAAAATAAACTGCAGAAGGTTATTTCTAGCTTGGGTATAAGCCATGTTCTCAGCATGCATGACCCTGAGACTCAAAAGTGCAGCACTGAATGCAGGCCTGTGCTCTGGAAAACTAATGAAACTTACAGGGCAAAATAACCCATGCAAATGAGTGGGTTTGATGCTGCCCCTGTCCCAGTTGTGTAGTGTTTCTAACCACTGTCCAGCTGCAGCAAACTCAGTCAACCTTGTACTGGTTTTTTTTTCCCAGACCCAAGTGATTCAGTTTCCCTTGGGTTTTTTCTTAACCCTCTTAAAGCTTTACACCGAGAGCTCTTCAGAAATCCATCAGCCCCAAAATTAGATTACAAGTAAATTCAGTTATGTGGTTACTGGGAAAATATAGCAGCTGCACTTCTTTCTAATGGAGGTTACAATTCAGTATTGCATGTGCTATGCCAAGAATCCTGTATACTATAAACATGTACAATAAGAACAAACCATCCATTCATGAAGCATATTTATATCAGCCCAAGTCATCACCCCTGTTTTAGAGACCAATCCTGTCACTTGATGTGGTGCTAAACTGTCATTGGCCCTGGGATCAAAAACTGAATCCTATGTTCAATTGTTGCCAAATCTTGCAGTTTTATTGCAAGTGTCATGTTAAGCATTTTTTTCTGTTAGGGCCCATTCCTGGAAGCATGAGACAGTAAGAAAGTGTCAGTTTTCAATTTTTTAAACTTCAGGTCCTTATGGTTATGGAGAAAAAACTGTAAAATATGAACCCAAAGGCTAGGTACAGAGATTGCACATAAACTGGTATAGGTGATTCAAAACCAGTTTGAACCTATAACAGAACAGAAGTTCAGTGCATATAGATGTGTTTAAAAATTTTGGAACCTGGTCTAAGATACTCCTGGATGGATGTAATATCAGATTTAATCAGTTTAGACTGGTCTATTGAACTCCTGTACCAGATCCCCTTCCAACTCAAGTTAGGTTCCCAGTCCCCTTGTATCCTAGGATGCTCCACTAACCCCCACCTCACAGGGTGGGTGGATAACCTCGGCCAACGCTTGTTTGCTCTGGCTGAGTGTGGGCTGGCCCCACCTCCAGGCTGTCACAGAGCTGAAGCAGTAAAGCCTCTGCTTCCCAGCCCTGCATCCTGCTTGCATCTGTCAGCGCAGCTGGGGGCAGGGTAGGGGAACAGAGGCTCCCACCCTGCCCCCCCCCAACTAGTACAGCTGAGGAGCCGTGCAGTGGGGCCCTTTCCCTTCCCCCCACTGCCTGCCTTGAGCCCCACCGAGTCCCCCCCCGTCAGAAGTGGGGGTGGAGGGGTGTAGAAGGCCCCAACATGTGGACCTGGCCATGCCCAGACTGGGCCAAAACATCTGGGAGGAGACTTAATGGCAGGGGTCTCTGCTTACTCCCCTCCTCCTGACCGCTGGCAGGAGCCAGAGCTGGGAATAGAAGCCATACTGGGCCAGGCAGCAGAAGAGAGGGGAAGCCTGTGCTGGACTGCTGCCCCCCATTGTTCTGGCTGGGTCTGGGGGGACAGATCCATGCAGCCGGGGCCTCTGCTTTCCCCCTGTTCCCACCCTGCCACTAACAGCTGGGGAGAGATGTTGTTCTGGTTCCTCCACTTCCTGCAGCTAACACCAGAGGGTTGGGGGAGTGTGCCCAGTAGCCAATCAAGCATGTCCCACTGCTTGGCTACATTTGGCTGCCCTCTGCCTCCCAACATGCTGGAGACTGCTTGCAAGAGTGCCCCAGCCTGCTACCACCCCGCTTCCCCACCTACCCCCTGGGCAAATGTGCATCATGATTGCTTCCAGTTCAAACTATGCAGCGTAGAGAAACCTGCAAAGATTTGGTTGATTCTGCTTTGGGGTTTTTGAATGTCTGTACCTAGCCTAAGAGGCTAAACATGTAAAAGAGAAATTAATAAATAAAAAACCCCAAACATTATTTTTAAAAAAATTAAGTTTTTTTGAGCCTGACTCATGACCTTTTAATGCTTATGGTTGGCAATACTGGCATATGGAAACTGCTTTGGGAAACTGAGATTTCTAAAAGCTTTACAGACATTCTTTCATGCTGCATTCAGCCAATTGCATCCCTAATTAATATTAAGATTTTAACAGGGTTGTATAAATCTGTGGTAGAGGCTGGAAAGTTAGAAGCTTTTCTTGTTTGGGCTCATTTTGCCTTGGGCCTCAGTTCACCCATAGCTCATTCATTAAAAAAAATTTAAAAAAGCCAAATGTAAGCTTCTGGACACCTTGCTCAGTGAAGCAGAAGGTAGCTTCTGTCGAAAAGAGACTTTTTTGTAATAGTGTTTGAATTTGGTAATTAAGACAAAAATGTATGCACATTTCACTGCATTGATTTAGTCTTCTAGAATATTCTCACATGCTGAAAAAAACTGGATTCAATACCAAGTAGGTGGTTTAGTAGAAACTTTAGCAAATTCTTTTAGAATCACTTCAATAAAAAATAAAAATAACATTTGAGTCTAATTATGCTTCAGTTGTTGTTCTGATTGTCCAAAATCTCTGAATTGCAACTTGAAATTCAACCTCAAATTGCCATTGTCATTTTCCTCACTGATTGCCCGGGAGCTGATTCTGACCCCTACTGAGATAACAGAGCAGGGTGGGGCAACTCCAAACAGCAAAGCAATGGACAGCAGCCATGGAGACATCACTGGGAAAAGAAGAATGGAAATAAATATGAGAAGTGATCCTCTCTAATGACGTAGAGATATTACTGGCAATATCTCCTTTTGTTGTTGTTGTTTATTTATGTGTATGTATTTGTGTGGTCGGTTTACTTGAAAGGTAGCAAAATCTACCTTCCTTTTGTTTAACAAGCATTTTTCTAGGCAGGGAACTTGACTATAAGAACACATGAACAATAATATAATTTCTGCCATGTCTATCAGGGATAGCCATACCACATAGGAAACTGCTGTATTTTTTTTTTGCTGCATCTAACTATGCTTTTAGAGTACTGTGTGATACAGAGCTGAGGACAAGAAACAGACAGAAATAGAGATATTACTGGAGTAGGACAGAGATGGCTTAAAACAGGCTTCTGTGAAACTAACAGCTGGAAGCTAAGCATCCCATCATCCCCACACGTACTATAGACCAGGCCTTCCTTTCCCCACAAAAAGCAAGCATAAAGTTGTTATTGACAATAAAACTGATGAGGTTCTCCTTTGCTCTAGACACTAAGTGCTTCAAAACACACAATAGGCCAATTCCTCTGCTGAGATGAATCAAAGTATGTCATGCTATCCTGCGACCAAATGACTTGGCATCTAAAAGACCTTGAGTGCTAGATCAGGCCAGATCCTCAGTTGGTATAAACTGGCAAATGCAGCTATACCAATGTAAGCATCTAGGGATTTGATGCAATTTATCTAGTAACATAATAGAGTGTCTCGTGGATCATCTTAGATTTCAGTTCCCTTCCTTTTACGAATGCATAACTGCCATTCCAACTGGGTAGTCTACATTTTTTAAGGCAACTACTAACTGCTGATTTAAATGATGTAAATTGAGTACTTGTTACAGGTGCTGTCAAGCAAAGATGCTTACCATGTTATTATTGTACCTGCCAGAACTAAACAAAATTGAAAACACAGGTTGGTTTAATAAATGTGACTTAATAAAGACGGTGACTGGTTGCAATACAGTGAATTTGTGTTATGTTTTTGTAATACAGTGAATCTATTGAGTTTTGCTTGGTTCCCTATCTTATTTTACTGAGTAAATCTGGTCTGGCATTCAGGCTGGGAGGCTAGATAGATGCAGATATGTTACTTGAAGCTTATACATACATAAGCTCAGCAGCTGAAGGAGCTTAACAAAGAAAGATGGGATCACCAATTCCGCTATCCATGATTCTCAGCAGCATGTGCTAATGAATCAAGAAGAAACAAATGCTGAAAACAGAAAAAAAATGTGTTTAAATTCATTTCTTGTCTTTTGTGAGACTCTAGATAGCCAGAGAAAACTTCCTTCCTTCCTTGTGCCCTTGTGACAAGGTATTTAGCAAAATTTGCAGATTGACTGGAATCTACGAGGCTACACTGTAACTTTTGCTATGGCCTCAAACTTGTGACTTCTGGTATGTCAACCATGTGCCTTAGCACCTTTGCCACCCCAGCCCCTGCCAGTGAAAACTAAATTTGTGGGGTTGTGTGGGGAAAGGGTCAGGGTAAATCCTCCTACTGTGTCATACCTCAATTCCCACAGATCAAGACATAACTAGGATGCAGACTGTATTGTAATCGAGGCCCTACAGGTTCTTCCCGAGGTAAGTGCCAAAATATCTGCTGCAATTTTCTTCATGTTAGATTTAAAACAATATATGTGGGAGACTGTATGTCACAATGTATTATTTACGTATTTATACAGGAGACTGAGGGAAGAAGCGAGTGACAGGGGCTCCTTTTACCACGCACTTGTAGATGATAGTAAGAGCCAGAAAAACTCCATAGCTAGGCATTACCTTCTCCTACTGCCCCTTCACCAGATTCTCTTGTCTGGGGAGTGCTCACTTTACCAGTCAGATAGGAGGGGGCTTTGATGCAGTTTAACTCCAAAAAGACAATGAAAAGATGACAAAGGACAAGCTCTTCATCTGTTTTATGAAAGGGGGAAAGAAAAGAAGAAGCTATATTCTCCCGTGAACCCCGTATTTGATCCTCTACATAGCTATAACTTTAGCAATGCTGTTGGCAGGAGGGTAAAGAAATGAAGAAAAAGTAATATGTCCTTGCTCCAATGCTTTTTTAAACAAATGCAGAGTAATGTTTAATTCCCAAGGAGCTTGTCAGTCTTTTTGGGTACAGGACTGTGTAACACAGCTGTTACTAATGAAGAGGGAGGGAGAAGGTGGATAAGATCTAAATGTTAAGAGACTGGCACAAAATAATGCAATGGGTGAAAGGCTCATTTCCTCATGTATATCAACATGTTGTCAGGAGGCCCTGTGGCAAGGACAAAGCCCAATTCTTTTAAAATGGGGTTAAGTGGTCCTGAAATTACACTTACTAATGCCCCCACCAAAAAGGAAAAATAAAAAGCAGCAAGTCTTCACAGCCCATTGAAATCCACCTATGAGACGTAATCTAATTAGATCTGAAGTACTATGGATAGAACTGAAATTCTTCAAAGATTTTTTCCTAATAGGTATTACATTTAAAAATAAGATTAATCAGTCTTTTTTTATTTCAACTGAACTGTTGTGAGAGAAATGTTAATGTAAGGCTGTCTTACAGATCCAAATGGACTTGGAGTAAAAATATAAACTTATGTCAAAGAAATTATAGAAAGACAGTTTACTACAGTTATGCACCAAATCAAAAGAAAAGCTGATGGCCAAGGTAATCACGTATAGTGCTATAAACAGTACTTAAAACCTGTAGACTAAAATGGCAGGAGGGTTGACTCTTCCCCTTGCATTTCTGTGATAAAATAAATCCACTGCAGTGTTTTGTGTGTGAGGGTCTCTTGGGGAAGAGGTTACCATTTAAGAACAGCCACGTAATGCATTGATTATCAGAGCCCGTTAGACTGTTGTCATTCTCCATAACTGTATGATATATTGAGTTCTGACAGGCTGCTGTTGACTTCTTCCTCAGAGGTAGCTGTATTTCAATAATGTGTTAAAGATATATATTAGGTGAATGATCTGGGATTCCTTGGAAATGTTTTGTATAAAATAACTAATATCTATTAAAATATAATTTACAGAATAACATCTGGAAATAGAGATATGAATTCTGTCATTGGCCTTTGCTGAAAATATCTGTTCCTGTACAAGTGATTTCCCTTTGGAACAGCAAACATACATAAATACAAGTATGTACAAACACAAAGGGTATCAGCATGTGAAGAATATGAGATTTGTGAGTTTAAATTTGATAACAGCAAGTAAACTACAATATATGACTTCGTGTTTTCAACTGCAGTTTCTCAGTGATACATGATAAACACTTGATTTATAAAATGGAAGCCATGGCAATTTATAAGGTATAAATAGCTCAAGTGTACAAACAGTTGATTGATGATCTAGCTTTACTACCCTGACCAGATATGCAGTCTCAGAAACTGGAGCCACAAATTCGAGCGACTCTCTATGTGTGCAGTCTACCAAGATTGGCAGTATCTGCTCTTCATGATAAAGGAAAATATACGACAGACAAGAAATAGTATGTATACAAAAAGGAATATTTCTATGTGCAAAGGAGATTTCAAGATCATGTCTTCCATAATCTTATATTCAAAACAGTGTCAAGTCATTCACACACTCTAAACAGGGACCCCAAACCCATAAACAACAATATAAATTGATAATAAGAGTTTGTTGTGAATAATATGCTTAATATTTGAAATTCAAAGCATGTGATTCAGAAGTCAAAACTGTAGTCATGCACAAACCTCCAGTTTAAAGTTAAAAGTAAAAAATATTTGATTTTGAAGAATCCCTATTTAATTCGTTAGGTCCAATCCAAAAATCTATTGAAATTATTTGGGTATTTCCCTTAAATGCATTGGCCTTTGAACTAGGCCCTACGGAAAATATTTGGAAGCATCATTTTATAGTAAAAGTCTATTTGTAAATAATTATGTAAGGATATTAATAAATGATTAATCAATTTTCATAATATCTAACAGGTTGCTTATTACCACCTGTAATACCTTCTGTTACTTTTCTTATAATTTCTAACACGTCCCACTCATGTCTGTAATATGTTCAAAATTCTTTTTATTTATTAACTCATTATAAAACATTTTGGGATGTATCTTTAACTTAAAATATAAAACACACATTTTTAAGTGAGAAAACTGCTTATCAAATGCTATTGTTTCTCTTTCCTGATTGGAGGACTGTAACTCAGAATCAAAGACAGCTTGAAGAATTCACCAACACACTGAAATTCTCAGGGAGACATTTTTTAAAAAGTTTAAACATTTTCATTACTGGGCCACAAAGGCTCTAACTAAGGCCTCAGTTCGTGTCAACTGTGGTTCCTATGCCGTTTGTCAGCAGAGTACTGTTAAGATTTAAATTTGTGCTTCTCATTACATACTTGGAAAGAAATCATATGGAGTATATTGTTCTAGCTCTGAAAGGTGTGTCTAATCTTTGTCTGGTTTAATTTCTGCTATACTAGGGATCTCCAAAAAGCATTTGGACATACGTTGTATGGCTGTGTCAATTCCACATAACATGCATCACTTACAGTAGTATACAAACTTAGAAATAATTTTTGATTTGTCCATTTAAACTGCATCACTTCAATGTCTGGAAACATCAAATCTAAAGGACTAAAACATGAATAAAGCCAAATTCACTGTAGACTCAAATGGATACTCTGAATATTTGCTTAAATGTTGTTACAGTCATCCTATTCTGTGGCTTATACAATGAAAAACTAAGTAGTCTATAGGCATAGATTCAGGTTTTGTTTCTTATGAGAATCTTGCTTTTATTTCGTTTTGAATCTCTTCTGATTGATGCACAAGGAATGAAGTGATATAGCCTAGGCTACCCAGCAAATCAGGAAGCCGATCGAATTTAGAACCTGAGACCTGTCTTATTTTCAGACATTTTCCCCCACAGCAATTACAATGAAAATGTATCTCATCACTGCATGGGCAAGAGAGAGGACATGTGCCCAACCAAACCGTGGTCAACCCTACCAGCTGTTTCAGATGGGCAGAGCTCTGTTTCTTACAGAACTATGTGGCTAGTGAAGTCTGCCTGCTTGGAACAGTTTATAGGACTAGGGCGTATGTCTTATTTGAGGGGGGGAAGCAACTAAAAGATGTCAAAAACTATTTTTTGCAACAGATTTAGGCATAATAAGGGTACTAACTTGTTGAGAAATTAGAGTGTGAAATTGCTTCTTTTTTTGTGCTAGGTGGCATTTTTCACACAAAAAAATAATGCCCCAGAAGAAAAGATAATACTTTATCTTGCACTGCCTAATTAATGAATATTTTATGATTTGTAAAACCCGTTATATGGGACATGTTACTCTGATTCTTGCAGAATTATAATCCTCTCAAATCAGGGCACACTAAAAAGGTTGGACAGATAATCTTGTATTACGGTTTCCTGCCTGTGTTTGACTTGTGGATAAAAGGAAAACATTTGTTTCTAACAGTGGTAGGCTTTTGACCTTCACAAACTTAAATACCAGAGTAACAAGCAAACACAAACACAAACAAAATAAAGGAAGACTGGTATATCCAGACTGGCATGGACCCATACTTAAAAGTCAAGCAGCACAATAAATTTCCTGATAAAATCAGATGTCCTTCTAAAGGATAGAATTCAATGGTGAAATTCTGACTATATGCCACGACTTAACTCGAGACAGTTTCTACTCTGAATGCAAATTTCCAATGCAAAAAAAAAAGTATTTATGGCTTTTCAAATGTCTCAAGTACTTTAAAGTAATGTAAAAGAAATGATGCAGGTCTAATTTAAGCCTAAAATGACTTTCCTAACAGAAAACTGGAAATGAAGATGCTTTTCCAGCATCCAGGTGTTGATGAAATTTAAGTGCCCACCAGATTGCCGGCCCACCCATAGATTATTAATGCACAATTAATCTACTAGTGCAACTGTAGAGTGTCCTTTAACTTCAGAGCCCATAAGTATAAAACAGCAACACACTGTGAAATTAATGGTAACACTTAAAGGTCCCATTGTTATTAATTCATTTGACATTCACTGTAATCACACCAGTCTTAATGAATTCATTTGGTATGTGAATATTGCATGCACTTTCAAACACATTTCACTGAAAATCAGAGCTAATTAATGCCCAAGATTCAAATAGTTTCTTTTGTTAGGAACACTATACATTTTTTTAAAGTGCCTTTCTGAAGCCAAAATTTGTCCCATTGCTGAAGCTCAAAAAAGCTATTCTAATAATTAGATTTCTCTTAGCGGTACTGACATATAAAACTAAATTGCAGACACGGGACCAATGGCAATGTGGAGTGGCATAAATGTTCACTGCCCCTTTAGAAGTTCCCACAGACATAGCTCCTGAGGCATGCCCCATGTATCTGGGAGCACAACAGAGAGCTATTGCTTCTTTGGAAAGGGTACAGTATGTTTTCTCCCTCCTTCAAACTGCCTCTAAATGTCTTTGGCTGTTACATTAAAAGTATTGGTGCCAAAGTCTTGGTGTCACCTCTCTCATTTTATGGAATCTAGTTTCACTGCAGGCACTACCCATGGGTAGTTTCTACTGCTGAGTACAATGAGTATAAATGTGCATGTCCTATGCTCACAAGTATATAAAGTAGAAGTTCTTGCATCTCCCCCACCATTATATTATTTGTACAGTATACAGACAGACACTATCTAAGCCATTCTCACAGACTTGATGCCTAAGGATTTCCTTCCTCTGGCCAGTCATATAAAAATGCAATGATGGTGCCAGCTAAGCAGTTATAATATTGCCAGTCTTTCTTTCCAGGGGTGTACATGAAAAGTTGAAAGACTGGAATAAAAATTTTCATCATTTTAGTCATCCATCAATCTAGACCTACATGTCAGAAACATAACAAGCACAACTTCAAGGAACTGTGGGGTGAGGAGAGATTTCCTGTTAATGCCAGATTTGATTACTCACCTAGTTCCAACAAAGGAAAGGTTTTCCAGATGGCTGCATGACATAATTCTACTCCTAAAGCTTTTGTTTCAAACATAATCCTTTAAATTGAATTGAAAAGTTGTCTCACACCAGTAGATGAGGTGACATTATACATGTAACTTTCTGACTGCATTTCCTTAGATATCTAGCAACTGTCTTTAGATAGCCTTGCCTCCCAAGATAATAAGATGTCAAACAAGCCACAATAACCTGATATCAACCATTTCCTAAATCCTTTCTTATGTCTCGGGCATGTTGTATTCAAGGATTTTTTATATTTCCATCTTAAAGTAGATGAAGGGATGGCGGGGGGGGAGGGGGTCAAATGTGACTTGTACTGTAAGAACCTTTATATCCATCCTTAAAGAGAGCAGGCACATTTTAAAAAATGATACCCCTTTCCTTTTTGTGCAAATGCAAATCCTGTGAGCACATACCCACAATCAACACCCCCCATGTCAGAATCCACATATCCTAACAACATCTATCACTAAATGTGATATACCCTGTTCAATGCAACAAATTAAAGCCTCTCTCATGGAAATGATGTGGGTGAAACTAAACCACTGTTCTCTAGAACAAACTCTCACAGAAAAATAAAGAATAGAAACATCCAATTATCAGTGAGAGAACACTTTACAAAATAATTACTTCATCTGATCTCCTTGACCTAAGGGGAAACCTATGAAATGTCTTCAGACAATGGGTCTAGGATCAAACTTCCATAATTTTACTGGATATCAACATCAACATGGACTTAGACAATGGTTTTACGACTCATCAACATTTATCTGCTCCATCTGGAAGGTAATCTGTCTGTGGTCCACAGATACAAAAACCTCCCTCTTCCATTTTGAATGTTCTTATTTCTTTACATGATTAGGTTTCTCTTTTTCAACTGTACTTTACTTGGTCTGTAACTACTTTTGACAAGAACTCTTTGATTTACATGTTTACCACCCACTTCCATTTTAAGTGATCATTTTCAGTTGCATCATTGGGTTAAACAATAGCAATTGCTCTGAATGGAATTCAGCTCAGGCTAGATGTGTGTCTTTCATAGACCTAAAAATAGGCATTTGGGGGTCTAATCTCACTGCCAAATTTAAAGTTGGCATGAAAAAAATATTACCCAACACATCTCATTTCCTGCATTTTTCAAAGATCATCATGACTATACCTCTACCGCACTCCTTTTGCCTAAATTAGTCATTTTTTAACACTTTTTCCTTTTGGACACTTCAGATGTCCATACCTGGTCCACTCAGGTGAAAAGTATGCAGGTAATTATGTAGATAACCCCTTAATTCACTGATTTTTATTAGGACTGCTTATTGAGTTAGGTACTTCCAAAAGGGAAAAAAATGGTAGAAACTGGTCGTATATTTTCCAACTGAAACCTTTCATAGGAAGTTTTGTGTATTTTCTATTTAGTGGGGTTTTTCTGAGAGAGGACATTGTTTAAGACTGTACTGCACACGTTGCATAGTGCATAGGATGAGGAACATTTTCAGAGATTTTGTCAATTCAAGATGCAGAATCCCTTAAAGCAGTAAAGAAAGCTAGTTAACCATGTTAGTCTGAAGTCAGGCATAATACAAGGTAGACTTGCACCTTACAGACTAACTACATCAGAGATGTATAATATAAAAGCTTTTATGATTCTGGGCTCACTTCATCAGATGAATCTAGTGAAGTGATCTTAGGCTCATGAAAACTTATGCTCTATATCTCTGATGTAGTTAGTTGATAAGGTGTAAATCTACCCTGTTTCTGCCTTAAAAGAGTAAGGATTTTTCTGGAACGATCTCTCTTATTGGACCAACCGTATGTTTGGGATAAAGTTAGACAAGCTTTTAGATGCAATGTGCATTGTATTCCAAAGGTGGTCTAATTTTATTCCAACCATGCAGTTAGTTCAATAAAAGATACCACCCCCCAAAACTTCATTGCATCTCACATAATTTTTGAACCATTACAGCTACAATATCACTCTAACACTACCTTAAAAAAAGTAAATAATCTTGTTATAGTTACTTCACAGGAAAATCCCTGACTCCAAGACATGACTGTCCTATTCACTCTCTCCCTGCTGAAAGACAAAATTTTCCTATGATTTGATTGCCAAGCAAGGCCCATTAAATAAAACTATTTTAGGAGAGGAGATAGACAGATCAATCAGAACTGCAAATCAAGAGTGTCTTGCCCTGAGGTACTGATTACAGTTAATAAGGATTTGTCTTCCCTCGGTTTCTTTAACACATTGAGAATGATGAACAAACTGTAAATGGAAAGACACACACTGATTTCAGATTCCTCTTCATTTTTCACTAATGTCCTAGAGAAACAGAACATGTCTTAAGGTTCAACTATATGTTATTCCATTTGGCATGACCTGATTTGAACAATGACTGAGCTCTGGTGCTACCTATTTGAAAAGCTTTCTGCCTAATTTAGTTATTTTGTGAATGTCTTTTGCAATACATTATTTGGAGGAAAGTACTTAATGTTTCAAAATGCTAGCAGTTTCTTTCATTAAAAAGCCTCAGGCCTCAAACCTCAAAAAACAAAAGGAAAAAAAAAAGAACGTCTTGTTCTATATCAGCACAGGAAGTAACACATGCAGATAAGGTTGTCCAACATTTTCCATTATAAGACCCGATTGTCAGATGATTATAACTTTGCCAAAATGTAACTGCTCAAGCTGAAACTTTTCGTGCCAGGTGTCTGCCTCAGGCAGAATTTTTTTGGAAAGATTCGGCTAACACACTTAAGCCATTCCCCAAAATAATGTTAAGGGCAAATACAATGTTTTGTCCATAATACATTCTTACAATGGTTCACTGAGAATTCTAGCACATATGTATTCTGGATCAGGGACTTGAAATCTGGGTGCCAGGGGATCAAAGGGTGTTCTTTATTGTTCCTGGATATGTTATGAGCTTCTCCAAATGTTGAAGGAACATAGAACTGGAAGAGAATACCCAGGTGATACAGTCCATTCTCCTTTAATGCCAGGCAACAAGGTAATAATTATATCTGTCCAGGAGGGTCATTGGCCACTACCAAACATCACACTCAAAAACCCAAACCAGCAACAAAAAATCTAAACCAAAAGCAAAGGAACAGGAGTGGCAGGAGCACCAATATCTCGGGCTCTAATTTGTTAGGTAAAAGATGTTCAAATGACCACAGGAAGCAGATCATGCTCCACATTACAGAGAAAGCAAAATGCCCAAATAGTCCTTGTCAATTTGACCTGAGGCAAATTTTCTTTCTGAGCACAGATCTGGTGATTGGTTTAACCTTTAGCACAACCCACTAGCCAGGTACTTGAGGTGCCTCTTAGTACTATTAGGAGTACTAAGTACCCCTTTAGGCAAATTAGAAGACCTGAAGTATGGGATTATTACAGTATAATATAATACAATTATAATGTAAGCATATAAAACATTTAAAAGGCTGGAGAATGAACAACTAAATAACCCAGGCTGACCCTCCTTAGTTGTTTGCAAAAAAGCCCATAGAATTCCCTGTAAACTAAAATCAAACATTTCTTCAAAACACAAACTTGCCTCAAGAACCCCAAAGCAAAACTGCTCTAACCAGGAAACTGCATCTCACCCTCAGACCACTCTCTGTAGGTTCAACTTCTGCCTTCAAATCCTTCCCTTATACCAGCAAGGTCAAGCTGCTCTACTCCACCAGATACCTCCAACATATGGCAGGCAACCCACACAGTGCCAGTTTTATTTCAACCCCACATGTGGGAATACTGACTACTCTGTTAACTCCTTCAAGATCACTCCTATCCTATCATACCATCCCTTCTATGTCAAGCTTCACCACTCTGATCTAGCTTCATCTTGAAGCAATTCAGGTTCTTTGTCCTTGTTACCTCGTTTGCAAGGCCTGACCAGAACTTTTGTTTGCAGAGAGCCCTTAGAGACTGCTGAATGGCTTGGCAGTAGAGCATGGTTCAGCCCAGGGATACAGCAACTCACTCACCAAGCGTTCCCCTGAAATTGCTTTTCTTGGCAACTGGGGCTAGCTGTGGCCTCTGGCACAGGAGCAGATAGCAGAATTCATTCAGTGAAAAGGACAGGGCAGTACTTTGGAAATGAATCAGAGTTATACAGTAAGCGAACTTAATCTCTGTGCAGCTTCTGGCTTATTTTGTGTAGAAGCTGGAAGGTTTGCAATATATCAGGGATGTCAAACTGGTGGCGCTGGGAGTGCCCGGGGCATGTAAAGGGTTAATTTTTGGCACTTGGGCTTCCACCTGGCTATCTAACACTCCCCCCATCACTCTGGCATCTCTATGTTCCCTCTTCCTCCGCTGGCTCTTCTTCCTGCCCCTACCCCAGGAGGAGAAGTGGTACGACGCAGCTCAGGCTTCCCATGAAGCATGGTGTAGCAGGGGAGCCCGTGGTTGGGGAGCTAAGGGTGAGGCTGGAGTGTCCACGTGGCAGCCAATGAGCCTGTGGCTTGTACTGATGCAGCCTGCAGGGCATGCAACATTCATGGGATGTAGCCTCCTGCCACCTAGAAGTTGGACAGTCCTGCAATAAATGAAATGGGATTGCAAAAGGAAAACAGTTTCATAGCTTTGAAATGTAGTGGCTGACCTGGACAACTGCTTCTAACCCTCCCTTTGATTTAGAGCTCATTTGTGATTCCGGGCCTATCACTTATACTAAATTTTTCGAAGGTAGCCTCTAGTTGCGTATGCTTATTTTGTGGGCACTTGGTTTGAGAAGCATGAAGTTGAATGTGCAGAAGGACTAAACACTCACAACTGCTGACAATGTCAAGCTCCTATGAATATACAAACTGATAATAAAATGCAAAATTCTCTGAAAAATCAGGCCTTGTAAATCTCAAATCAGGCACCCCAAGTCTGTGCATTTTTGTTTTTCTATTAATGTCACTTATGCCTCAGTTCCCCATTAGCAAAACAGAATTATAATTCCATTTAATCTCACACGAGTATTAGGAAGACAATTTCATTACTGTTTACAAGTTATTGAAAATACTCAGATGAATGAAACAGAAAAATATATGGAAATTAATAGTCTAATATTCGGAATAGGGTTTGGATGGTGTATATCCAGATCAATAAGGCACAGGGCCACATACTGAATAATGAGGATAAAATTGAATATTTTATGGCTACTTATTAAGTAAATGCTATGTCAACAGTAAGGTAAGGATCTTCTGAAAAAGAAATACGTAATAAAATAATTGAAGGCCATCAAAGTATACATATGTGGAAGCCAAATGAAGGCTACATAGGTAGTCTTAATTTAAGGATGTCCAAATATTTGAATATATAACTTGACAACTTTGATACGCTTTTAATATAGTTATTTTTAAGATAAATCGATAGATAGATAAATATGTAGACTGTGTTTTACTCTACGAAATCAACTTGCAGATGACAACTGTTCCTATCTAATGTTTGCTGGGTACATCTGGAGTTGCCTTGATCATGGTCTAAATTCAAAGTTTAGACTAGCATCCTGTCCTGAAAGAATAAAGAACAAGCTCTTTCTAACTTTTTACATCACTTGAAATGGAATTCCAGAAATTTTTCTCAAATAGTTTCTTGGGTAGTGATTGAATGAGCAACAAACTAGATAAAACTTTAATTTGCTTTTTTTTTTAACATAAAAATTGGTAGTAACCAAAATATGGTATTTACCTCAGGCATGAAATTTACACAAAATATAACCTCACAGACAGTGAAAGACATGCACTTCCAGAAATCAAGCAGATATGATGATTATATAAAATTCAAACAGAGGAATATATCGCGGTAGTACTTTCAAGCTTGCTCTCAGCTGATACAGAAAGATGGTCACAGATGAATGAGATTATAAAATGGATTTACGAAGTCTTTTGTTATCTGAATGCTTATCAAAAACTTCTAAGTTTTTAAGATTGCGTACCTCTGGGAATGCACAAAGTATTCTACATGAAAGGAGAATCAGCTTTGATATCTGGGTGGGGGGAGTTGGAGTATATGAGAACTTAGACTCTTCAGTGGTAGAAGCCTTCCTTGTTCGGGTAGAAATTCTTCCATGGCTAGCTACCATCTTCCAAGAATGGCTATTTTTGAGGGACTTTGGCTGCACCTAAATAAAATAACTCCCTTCAACCACAGAGATGGCATCATATCTAGTTATTCAAATCTGCATAAACATATGAAAAGTAGAGAAGAGGTTTGGATTTTAAGATCTACTGTTTTGGCTCATGTCTGCTGATAGAAATATTCACAAAGCAGGAATACAGTGAACTGTGAAAAGAATTTATCAACCTACAGAATGTCTAACCGGATTGAGGACAGGACTGTCTAACAATGATTTTAATTATTATTTTTTTATTTGTGTTATGGTAGCACTTCAGTACACCAACTAGAACTAGTGCTCAGATTTCTGGATGCTGTAGTTTGACACAAATAATATTGTGTCAAACTACAGCATCCAAAAGAGCTTACCCTCCAAATAGATCAGACAAACAAAGTATGGTAGAAGGAAAGTTTTACAATTCCCATTGTACAGATGAATAATGGAGGTACACAGTGATGGAGTGACTTGTCAGAAGTCACTGTGAAATTCTGTGGCAGAACTGAGATTGAACCCAATTCTGAAGTGTCTTAAAATTGAAGTGTGCATGCGTGCGTGAGTGTGTGTGTATGTGTGTGTGTGACAGCGAGCAAGAATGTGTAACCTTGATGCACATAGTAAAACGTCAGGTTGTTCATAACTTAGTATAACATACAAAGATGTCAAGGTTTCTTCCCAATAGAGATAAACTCAACCTATCAGATTCACATTGATTAGAATAATCAGCCCAAACAACTATTAGAAACAATTAGTGGGTAAAATGAAATAAGTTGGTTTCCAAGTTAATGATAAAAAGCTCTGACCTCTTTTTATATACTATTTTCCTAGGAAATAATATCTCAGTATTGTTGAAAGAAGGAACAGTTTTCACAAAATAGATGTCACTTTGAAATAGTCTAGGGAGCCATTCCTGTAGAGATAAACCTAAAGCATACCAGATAACCACTGAGTTTATAAATGATCTGTAATTTAATGACTTACTCAAACACTCAGCCTTTGTAACTCTCAGCTTTTCACATCTTTTCATTTCAAAAGATATTCTCATCCCCTTTCTAGCTTAAGTAATTTTCACTATTTAAGAAAAACAATTTAAAAATATTTTAGGGTTCACAATTAGGCAAGGTAATGACCAATGCTGACAGAAGCTTTTGCTGGGAACACTATTTTTTGTCTAAGTTGAGATGAATTTCCCATACGTTCTGTGTAAGATACACTTACCCTGTTTGACAGCAGTACTGCTGCAGTCCTGAAAAGGGAGGTAATATCTGAAGGCCACCTATTGTGAATTTTTTTGAGGGCTGCAGCGGCAGTACCAAAGGCCACCTGCAGCAGCAGGCAGTGCCTAGTTATTTGGGCTAAGGAGTCAAATGTGGCTGAATGTGATTCTATTCATCACTTCATTTTGAGCCACTGGCTAAAGCAGTGGTTCTCAACCAGGGTTTCAAGGCCTTGAGATCTTTTCAAGGGTGTCATTCAATATTAGCACTATTAGGTGTGGAAACACGATTCTCAGGATAAACTTAGAGATTTCAAACAAGAATCCATAGTATTAAAAATATGTTGACCTATTGTCATTCTAAGTTGTTTGCAACAGAAACATTTTTCAGTTCACAGAATCATAGAGAAGTAGGGCTGGAAGGGACCTCCAGAAGTAATTTAGTTCAACCCCCTTCCAGAAGCAGGATCATCCCAATTCAAACCACCCAATACAAATGATAATCTATATGCTCTACATAAGACTACCATCAACACTGATAAAACATAGGCTTAACAACCTAGCCTGCCACAGGTAAAGCAGGGGAACCATGGCAGTCAATGTCCTGTCAACTTCTACGAAATGTTGTCAATATATACTCAAGAGCTCCTGGGTAGAGGACCACAGCCTCTACTACAAAGGAAGACAAAATCCCCACCAGGTCCATACCAATTTGACCATGGAGTAAAATCCCTTTCTGACCCCAACTATGGTGATTGGCCTGACCCTGAATGGAGGGGCAAGACCCTTTAGCCAGGAACCTCCAGCTTTTAGCCCTGCAGGTACATTAGCACACCCCGGTCAAAATCCCCAGCCTTGGCCGTAGCCAATACCCAATGTCTCGAGGAAGACTTAAAAACATCCTGACACATGTAGCAGAAAGGGGGGGAGGGAGGTGAGATGGGGACAACCAGTAAAGATTGGAAAATGCTCACAGCAGAACAGAGGCATACCTCTGCCTAGATCATCCCTGCTTCATATGAAAACTGGGAAAGCTTGGACAGTGACTCTTGGACAAAAATGCAAGGCAAATGCTAGGGCAAGACTGGATTGTGGTAACAAGACTGCCACAAGAAAATCAAACTGCTAATGGCTTGTAGCCCATTAAGCATTGAGACAGTGGAGTGTTTGTGGTACCCAATACCAGACCCATGTCATAAGATAATAAAAAGTGATGGTTAAAATTGTTGGCAGAGACCCAATGCACTCATCACATGCGTGTACCTAAGAAAGCCAAAGAAAAGGCTTCGCCAGTGAAGACAAGGAAATGACATATGCATTTCAATTGACCTAGCAGCTAAAGAAAACAAAAGGCTAAATATGCATCTCAAGAGAAACCTGTAAGAGGTACAGCAAGAATGCCCTGTATGTGACATGCTAACATTTCTCCAAACAGGCATCCAATGTCTAAGGAGTTACAAATGTACAACTATTCAGTCTTGGTCTGGAGTTTGGTAAACAGACCATCACCGGTACAAGTTACTGCAAATATGCCCTATTGATATACAAATACCCCAAAACACCTCTAAGCATCCTGTTTGACCACTCCAGGCTCATCACTTGTAATTAACCTATAATTTCAGAGGCTACAGAGAAATACAAGTCTTCACACCTAAGCAAACATAAAACAGGAGCCAGACAGTTTAACAGTTGTGATATTACGGTAACCCTTTTCCTCCCAGTTTTGTTCGGACTTTAATTGGCCAACTATCAAGGAAAAATGTTTTGAAGCTATACAATTAAACAGTATAAAGCAAGACAGAATTGCCAGCCAGGTGCATGCAGTCCAGTGAAGACCAAGGCCGTGTGTAGACAAAATGAGAGGCGTGTGTGCACGACACTTTAAAGCAGGCTAAATGCTTTAATGGTGTTGGTGCTTGCACGCCTCGCCAGCATACTGCACATTAATTCCAGCCACTGTAAGAAATTCAGTGGTGTAATGTGCCTCAAATGACTTATGGCACAGCAATCTAAAACTCCTTCAAGGAGTTTTAGTTTGCTGCCCCTACAGCTGTGGACTGAAGCACCAGGCTCTGTGCAGCTCCATGGCTCTACAGGAAGCCCTGCAGGCAGCCTGGCAGCTGCCCAGGAAAGCAAGCTCCACCCAAGAAAAGCAGCAAGCCTGACCCCACCCTCCTGCAGCCTGCCTGCCTGAGCTGCACAGGCGGCTGGTGCTTCCCTCCATGGCTATGGTGCCCCCTGGGACTGCCCGAGCTGGGTGCCTGTGGGCAAATGCCACCCGGGGGTGGGGGGCCCACTGCTGCCACAGAGGGAAGCACCAGCCCCCGCCGCAGCCCAGGGACTGCTTCACCCGCTGGCAGCTTGCCTTCCCTTACTTGCTGGAGATGCAGGTAAGTCAGTGGGGTGTGTGCATGACACAAGGATTTAATCAGTCCTAAATTGAAGTGGTGTTTTTTAAAAGCCACCGCTTCAATTTTGGGCCCCCGGTTCATCTACACATGCCCCAACAAGCCATCCTGCCACGCAGCTGATAAGCGAAGGATCCACATTGTGACGCTGTACAAGAACTGCTTCCTGTCTGCATTGGGTAAAGGTCTCTTTGCAACTAAGATAATACAAGGACTAATAGCTCATTTTATATTGGGAAAGAGTTTTTTTCTGTCATTTAGTTTTGTAGCTTGTTGATAGTTATTAAAACAAGCCTTTCTGCTATTCACCAACTGAGTATTGTGCCAATACTCAGAGCACTAGGTTCAAAAACCCACTTTCTAAGTGCAACAGTCCCCAGGGCTGTTCAAACTCTTCTTGAGTGACGGAGAGTTCACAACTTCCCTAGCCAGTCTATTCCTCACTCTTCTCACAGTCAAGAATTTTTTTCTGGGAATCCAATTTATATTTACTTTGCTGCAACTTAAAGCCCCTGGTCCACATCCTCCTGTCTGAAAGAAGAAAGAAAAGGTGCTTTCCCTCTTCTTTATGGCAGCCCTTCAAGTATTTGAAGACTGTTATCATGTCCCCTCTAAAGTACCTTTTCTGCAAGCTGAACATGCCTAGCTTCTTCATCTTACCTTTCAAGCCCTCTATTATCTTTGTTACAACCTCTGGTCCCTCTCTAACTTCATCATATCCTTTTTAAAATGTTGAGCCCAGAACTGCACCCGCTGCTCCAGATGAGGCCTAACTCATGCCAAGAAGAGATGTACTACCACCCCCTACACCTGATGCTTCTATTGATGTATCCCAAAACTGCTTTGGCTTTTGTGTGGCTGCATCACACTGCAGCCTCATATCGAGTCTGTGGTTTACCAAGACTCCCAAGACTTTTTCCATAGTGCTGCCATCCAGCTACGTGTCACCCATTTTATATTTGTGTTCTTGATTATTCCTCCCCAGGTGTAGCATGTTGCGTTTGTCTACATTGAACTTCATCATGTTAGGTCTAGCCCAGCTTTCCAATCTGTTGAGATCTTTCTCAATTGTACTCACACACTCCAATGTATTCACAATCCTTTCCAGTTTTGTGTCATCTGCAAACTTTCTCAAGAACCTTTCTATGCCAGCATCCAAATTGTTAATAAACACTTTGAATATCAGTGGGCCCTGTGGGATTCCACTCAAAACCTCTTGCCATTCTTACATGGACCCATTAATAATTATCCTTTGCTTGCAGCTATTGAGTCAGTTGTCTATCCACCTTTTTGTAGTTTTTTCTGGACCACATTTATCCAGTTTATTTATGGGACGGTCATGCGGGACCTTGACAAAAGCCTTGCTGAAGTCCAGATACACTACATTGTTCCTCTACAGCATTCCCTTCATCCACCCAACTAGTTACTTTGTCAAAGAAAAATATTAGGTTTGTTTGACAGAATTGTTTTTCATAAAATCTATGCTGGCTGCTTGCTATCAGTTCTTCGTCCTCCATATGCTTGCAAATGGCCTTCCTGAGAATATGCTCCTGACTTCCCAGGTATTGAGGTGAGGCTAAACTCCTTGTCTTTTTTTTTACTGGCCCTTTTACAATCTTCTGGTACCTGGTCCATCCCTCACGACTTCATGAAAGATCATTGCCAGGGGCTGAAAGTTCCCTTTTACCAGTTTCTTCAGGACCCTAGGATGAAGTTCATCCATCCCTGCTGACTTGAAGTCATTCAGACCCAGCAACAGCTCTCTGACCATCTCTGCTATTATCTCCTTCCTCAGCTTGCCCCCTCCTTTATCCAGATAATCCTTATTAGGTGTCTGGCTGCAATTTTTTTTTTTTTGGTGAAGACTGAGCCAAAGCAGCTGCTGAGTAGCCTTACCTTTTTTGTATCCTTGGTTTAGGAGTTCCCCTGGCTTGATAACATGAAACACAGCTTCTTAGTCTTTATTTTCTGTCTAACATACTTATAGAACCTCTTGTTGTCCTTAATCTTCTTTGCCAGGTACAGCTCATTCTTAATCTTTACCTTCCTGATTTTGTCCCTGAAGGTTCTTGGTATTTACTGATACACTTCCTTGGTGAGTGGCTCAGTCTTCCATTGCCTGCATGTTTTCATTTAAGGCATTTTAAAAGATCCTTGGGAAGCCACATGGGTCTCCTGCCATTCTTCTTGTGCTTCCATTATGTCAGAAATTTTTTTTTGTTGGGCTTCCAATATTTTGCCCCTTAGATGCTCCCAGCCCTCCTGGGTGCCTTTATCTTTCAGTCTACCCTCAAATGACACCATGCCTATTTGCTTCTTGTGTCAGATTAAATCCATCTTTTTGGAATCTAATATCCTAATTTTGCTGACCTCAGCTGTTCCCTTTCTTAGGATCTGGAATTCTATCCTATTGTGACTGCTTCCCCCCAAGTTACCCATCACAACCAGTACGGGTTCATCAGTGGCAGGTCCTGTCAGACCAACCTGGTGGCCTTTTACGACCAGGTCACTAAATCATTGGATGCAGGGCTAGCAGTGGATATAGTTTTCCTAGACTTCAGGAAGGCTTTTGATACTGTCTCTCACCCCATTCTCATTAGGAA